TCAACAACGCTGGGAGTTTTAAAAACTCTTGTTACCTTTGATCGCGTAATGAATATCGAAGATATTCAGTCGCAGATGATAGTGTGAAGCGAATCGTAACGCCATTCGTGTTGAACATGTAACGGATATTACTTCATACGTTTACACGCGCACCACCTCCTGTACAAACTTCACGTAGGAGATGAGCAATATATTAATAGACATTAATCTGAAATGGTCGACTTAAATCCCCAGACACGCAAACAATCAGTCCCCGATGCACATAATTTATGTATAGTTATATAGTTTTTCTACTGGAGTATATCATCCGAGTATTTATGGGGCTGCACATCCACGTGACCTCATTATTCTTATTACCGAAAGAGCCTGACAAAGAAAGCAGTATTACGCAAGCTAACACGCCTTATTAAGCTGCACTCGCTCTTGCTACCAGTAGCAGCTACGTCTTGTCTGCGGTGTTGGCAAATCTTGTGAGGTGCTTGTTTCGAGGGATTAAAAGGTTCAGCGGTGAACAAAGGGCGATGAGGTGTCTCTTTGTCCTCTCAAGTGTCCCTAGCTGTCCCAATAGAATAGCACTTTATCTCTCTTAGAGCTCAGCCAAATATGCCACACGTACCAACTCGTAATTTCTTAAGTCTATTCAGCTCACTACTAACTATTGTTCGGTGGTACATAATGGGAATATGATTGCACTGCATGTGATCTTTCTTATTATTCTCACAGTCAGTCCCTGAACCATGTATTTTTCTCCTTCCGGTCAGCCTTTGCTGTAATAACGCCATACATGAACTTAAAGTTGTCCACGTTTGTTTCATTAACACAAACGTATATGATAACACATATCAAATTATATATTCTGTGAGACATGAAATGAAAAATAGTTTTTTTTCGTGTAGCGATTATGACCCGATAGCACAGGCGGGGCGTTCTCTGAGTATACCACAGGCATGTTGGACCTCCGTGCCTTTTTTTAAATTCGCCTTGATTGTCCTCTTTAAATTGACGATCGATGAACTCAGATTGCGAAAGCAAATGTCACACAAGTAAATGTGATGTTGCATTGCTGTACCTTTACCCGTCGGAGAAGTCCTTCTCAAAAGATAAATATTCCGTTGTTTGGAGCAGGCCTATATGACTATTACGCCCAAGTGCTGCTAAACAACTCGCAGACCTTAAGTCTGACATAGACGCAGACCTGGCATGTTCAAGTTCACATCTGATTGGGGCCGAAAATATTGATTCCGACATGAATGCAATATCTCATTAAGTTATTGTTTTCCTAAGTAAGTGGAGTGCCTTCTACAACATTGGAGATAAATGTATCGCTGTCCTTCTGATATTCCCCCGAACGGAAGCTCTACCCATTTTAGGTACAATGTGTATGTTACAGAATAGTAGGGAATAGTCTTAAGACTTTTCAACTTTGACCAGGATTCTTCGAACTTGTAACAGTCGCTTGAGAAGATCAAAAGAGAAAGGGGGTAGTGCGCGATGTATCTGACGGACGTATATATGGAGAACGTTCGAACTGTATAAATACAATAATTGAAATACCGGTTATGATTAAAGAATACCCTCAATCTGATAGCCATCCATGTATTCAGATTGTTGAGAAAACTAGCGATGCAAGTGCTTCTCCATCACACATATAATTGTATAGATACCCAGTGATTAGTGATAGCGTTGAAGCAACATATTTAAATGTACGACAGACACTGTCAACTGCAGTAGTACTGCCACACCCAGCATCGTATTTATAGCTCTCTTACATAAGGTAACATATCACAGGGTTGCCATGGTAACGATAATTTGACATACTATTTATTGTCTTACTCTTTAATCAGCGATTAGAATTTAAATCAGTTTTGAGGTCAGCATGTTAAGAGAAAAGAAGTTGTAAAACGAAAAGTATTGTGATCGAATCTATTGGCCTTTGTAAAAGCAAGTTTCAAGCCATCTACATAAAAACCTGTTTTCATGATAAATATCTGCTAATCCGTGGCATGATTCCGACCATATCATGAGCATGTGTTTGTGAATCATAATCAAATAGTGATGTTACAAGGCGTCCATGCCGCGTCAACAACACATGCAAACGCGTGAGAATTGCAATATGGGCCCCTGCACTAATGATTCTCCGTGGAGACACATGTGATTGAGCGTATGTAGGGACGTAGTCTGTCATACAGACCCTGAAGCAAATATATCGAAGCCCACGCAAGTCTAGAAAAATGTGGCAAGTGTAGATTTCACAGCTTCCGGAGAATGTCTCAGGGCTCCTTTTTATTATATTTTTCCTTTTTACTATGAACTTTTTTTCTGTAAAATATGTTCATTTCAGAGACTAGTTGTTAGTCTAGTAGGGACGGGTAGAAGACAAAAGACAAAATGAGTACTCGTCCTGTTATACTTTTTAATTATATGTAAGGGTATAGAAATTTAGGCTAAGATATTTGAATCATATTTACAATTAAAATACCCAAACAATGGTCTATTGTCCAAAATATTTGGTTTTCCACATATTTTCCCAGAGTGTCTCACAGTCTCAGAACTATATTATTTCCCCTTCCGCCCTGCCCTTACTGTAGTGCTAACGCCTTACATCTGCGAACGCTTAATTCGCAAGTAGTGAGGCAATACGCTAATGAGGGGAAGGGTCCTGTACCATGTTTGTGAAATATCTATGATGCCTTGCAGGAAGTTGTTAGGTTTTTATTGTGTGTTTTTTTCCCCCTTTTTTTTAATGATCTAAGCAAGTCTAACTATGTATGGCGTTAAGTCACTGCTTAAAGAAAGGCTTCATTACAATTAATTAATTATCTCAGCTGACTCAGATGCTTTGCAGATGTTTTACCCCATTCGTTCCATACCCGTAAAAATAATTTTCTATATATGTCTGTAAGGAAATACTGTAAAGAAATACTGTTAGTCTGTGAATCTTCCAATTTACTTGGTCTTAATATCCATTGAACATCTGCACACCGATACTTTAAAACTGGTATATGAATAATAATTGTTTGCAATTTTTATCAAATTTAGTTTTCCATTTATTTAGCAATTTTCAGTTTCTATGTCCTGGAAATTCTGTACGAAGGTACATTTAACAGATTCACTCAATAACAGTAACACATACAGACAATAAGTTTCGGCACTTTGATAGATTAATAAGTAAACATTTATTCCATGATATCGGGTTGCCAAAATAATTACCATAATTATGTAATGTATAACAAATCAGAGAGCAAAAAGCGAAAATGAAAACGCATGAGTAACAAATGCTGTGAGGTGGTAAACTTCCAGTAATTATCGAAACTGCGTACTTACCTAAGCTTATGAACTTATTGTAATCACAAGAATTTTCTATAATCTACCCTAGAACTGGAATCAAAATAGGTGTACACTTATGTATATTCCGTCGGGGAACTTACATTTTAGAAAACGTCCGTATGGGATAATATCTAGATTCCTAATACAAGAGAGGTTATACCAAGTACGTATATGCATGTTTACACATTTACAACAGTAATTTACACCGGGAATCATTAATACATTGTAATCATCATTTTTAAAAGAATAGATAATAAAATTTGTGCAGCTATGATCAGTCTGATAACTTATACAAGTGTGCACTAAAATTAGGGACCTACCGGTTCATGTCTGTGTGAACACACCTGTCTGTGTTTAATTGCAATAAGCAGTCTCTCCTTGCATGTTATATATAAGAAGTGTACCTAAGATCAGTTATTTAAACTGTAATGTAATTTCCATTGCAAAAAGTATAAACGGTATTACCTACTGACCAGCTGCAGAAAGGCTTATCAGTACCCCACCGCCATCACCCCACCCTAGGCCTGCCCCATCAAACACCCCTCCCTCTCACACACATGCACACACACACACACTCCCTAACATACATATCGCTCTAGCCAACAGACCCAATATCTGAACCTTTTAAACAGACATCATGTGTATGTCAAGAAAGGCAGGCACGTTAATAGCGGTGCTCAGTCATGGGTATCACTTCGCCATGTGTTTCTAATGACCTTCGTGCATTATGGCGTGGTCCGACGCGCTAACGAACCATATGTGAAAGTTACATTACAGAACCATTGAAATACATGTTAAAATAGTGTAAATCTTTTAACACTATTTATCCATTACCAACCATTTACGCGTGTACTAAATATATGGCAAACCTAACCCTGGTCATACGAGATTTCAAAGGTATTAAAATGCATGTCCTACAATCACAGCATTTACATATGTTACACATGCTAGAAAACACATGAAAACAATGGCCAGATTTACACACCTGTGAAATACATGTAAATACAGAGTTGAGTGTACGTTAATTTAAACACCCTTTTAAACGTGTGTAAATCTGACAGCCAGATGATACGTAGATTACCAACGTTGTTCATATGGCCGCCGGATGAAACGTATATTACCTAACGTTAGTAAATGTGGGCAATACAGTCATTTTATGTGGTGTCAGTCGTCATATTTCGTTAAAAGTGAAATATAGACTGGATCATGCCGTTTACAATTTCCACTATTGCACGTTTGATCATTTGGATCAGAAGCCTGAGTCCATCTGGCGTGTTGATCAGTGAATAATCCGACAGTGGCTAAACGCAGCTGTTGATAGCTTTTGTCAATGTTTGCAAACATGTCAATGTCCTTACTACCATATTAAAACATCAGGCAAAGCAAGTACCGAGTACGTGTATGTTTAGCACTTCAATGATCAGTTCCAGCACGACGACGTGGCCGGCCCCACCACGTTGTCAAGACACGTGTTACAAATGTTTGTTCACTCTATTTTACACCCTAAATGTATAAATTTAATTATTTCGTTCCAAGAACTATGCACTGTACAAATACTAAACAAACCCAAAGTATAGTAATGCACAATTATGTGTACTTTTAACTGCACTGTACGTTTTCCGACCATGTACAGTTGCCACAAGACGACAGAATGGTGGTCAGTTGATACTTACGGTGGTGTCTGTGTGGTTGGAAGAAACATTCATGATGGCCGGGCATATATATAGCAATGGTGGCAGTGGCCTGTTCATCCATCAACTGGCCAGTGGTCACGAAGTCAGCCTTCAGACAAGGAAGGTTCATATTGCAAACTGTCATCGTATATAATATGTCTGTATGTGAATCTACGTTCCACCATTAAACTGACGGGTGTGGATTGATTTAGTTGTCAACATAGTTGGATAAACAATGTTAGAACTTATAACTAGATAAGTGGGTCGTCGGGGCTGCCTTCTTTTAGTGAGGGAGTGAGTGAGTGAGTGAGTGGGTATTGAAGTAAGAGTGAGTGAACTTGACACTGTTTTGAACAGTTTGTTTCTCATTTCAGCATTTATCGGTGTGTCAGTGAATGTAGGAAGGTTGTGACACAAACATGGATTCGAACCCATACTCGTTGGTTCCTGTTACTCCAAAAGGACACAACTCTGTATCGTATATCCTCAACACTATATGTACAGTATCACACGGGATATCACGTCCATCTGTACTGTAGCAAGGATATCTGGGTGTTCTGACGTCACTGTTGTAGCTTACTGTGTCTCACGGGGAACATTTGATTGTAGTTTTCAAATGCATGTACCTCATGTACCACTGATTCAATTGATGAATCATTGTTTGAAGATGAGGCACCACGCTCTATGTTACAATTTCTGTTAACAACTTTCTGTTACACATTGTCTGTCTTACTTTCTGTTAACTTTCTGTTATACACTCTCTGTTACAGTTTCTGTTAACGTTCTTTTATGCTTTCCCTATTTTATTGTCTGCTAACTTTCTGTTACACATTCTCTGTTACTCTCTCTTACTTTCTTACTCTCTGTTGCAGTTTCTGTTAACTTTCTGTTTCTCATTCTCTGCTTTATTGTCTGTTCATTTTCTGTTATACAAACTGTTACTCTCTCTTACTTTCTTACTCTCTGTTACAGTTTCTGTTAACTTTCTGTTTCTCATTCTCTGCTTTATTGTCTGTTCATTTTCTGTTATACAAACTGTTACTCTCTCTTACTTTCTTACTCTCTGTTACAGTTTCTGTTAACTTTCTGTTTCTCATTCTCTGCTTTATTGTCTGTTCATTTTCTGTTATACACTCTCTGTTACAGTTTCTGGTGAGTGGAGATGGTGTAGTAGTTTAGTCATCTCAACAATGGTGACCGGGTTCAGTTTTCATGCCTCCCGCTCACAGATATCTCAAAGAAAGGCATGTCCCCCATCTCATATTGCTATAGATATTAAAGCATTTGTACACTGATAGTTTACTGGATGTATTTGCTATTGTAAAGACACATCGTGCTGAACGACATACAGTTGAAGGGGCTCGATTGAATGAGATATGATTCACTGGATTCGTTGTATACATCTTGGAAAGAAATCTAATTAATAACACGTTGTCAATCTGGTGCGGCGTGGCGTGGCGTGGTGTGGCGCAGCATGGTGTGGCACGGCGTGGCGTCAGTTGTGTGGTGTGGGTGGTGTGGTGTGGTGTGGTGTGGTGTGGCGTGGCGTGGCGTGGCGTGGCGTGGCGTGGCGTGGCGTGGCGTGGCGTGGCGTGGCGTGGCGTGGCGTGGCGTGGCGTGGCGTGGCGTGGCGTGGCGTGGCGTGGCGTCAGTTGTGTGGTGTGGTGTGGCGTGGCGTGGCGTGGCGTGGTGTTGCGTCCGTTGCGTATAATTTTGCATATGGAGGCATATTGAGATACAAAAGTTGACCTCCCGTAAAAAGTCACCTTCACGTCACGCATTCTGCGAAAGGTCCGGAGGGAATAAAAAGTCGGAATTTCGTGACCAACTGTATGACATATGGAAAAAAAGATGATCTATAAACACACGACTCACAGATTGTCGTCATCAGGCAGTATTTTGAAAATAAGACGTCTATTGTCAAATACCCAGTGAATATCGAGATCTTCAGTGATCAGTTCTTGTAAAATCACAGCATGTTTGCATTTAACGTCCAAAGGGATATGTTTCGTCGGATAATCGACGCTGGGTATTTTCTCTAATTGACGTTTTATACAATTAAACAAATATGATAACAGATATGAACGTTTAGCTTCATACGATACATTTTGTTTGCACTTTATATACTACGGCATTGTCATGAAACATATCGCTTGATGAAGATTTACAATTAGGAAGGTAGGAATACACCACCTGACCAAAATAGTTTCATAAGTGCCTATCCTGACACATTCTCGATAAAATGAATTAAAAATATTGTAATAACTTCCTGTTTGTATGGTTGTAATTGTTGAATGCCTTGGGTTTGCACTAAATGTAGTTACACTTGTGTCCTAAATATACCCGAAAATATACTACCCATCAAAAGTTTAGACTCACTTAAAGCACTCACTATATGTTATGTATATGTATGTGGTTACATCGAAGATGAATTTCTCCACCAACTTGGGGGAACCAACTGAAAACCTTATGCAGATGAATTGCACAAGGATGATGCTTCAAATTGCGAAAGGCATGAGCAAATGTCGTGCATGTGAACAGATGCGTTTTGGTGTAAAGTTTTGTTAAGAATTCGCCAATTTTCACAGATTTTAATCATTTACTGAACTCATGACAATAATCTTTTCAATGTTAGGAATATGTTTTACAATACACCAGTTCATAACTAAACAGTACCTTTAAACAGTATGGAATATTTTGCAAAAAGCTAGTTTAGAACAGTGGACAAGTAAGTGGCTACATTTACACTAGTGAGTCTAAACTTTTGATGGGTAGTATATAACACATATGTGGTAAAAATTGTCACCAATGCAATACTGTAACAAAAAAATACTGTAACCAATTCAATACTGTAACATCATCACCTTTCAAATATTTTGACATATTAATATGACAATAGGCATCACCTGGTCCAATAAACAAGCAAGAACGACAGTTTGAGTTGAAACAATGGTTTAGCATAACGAGGAGACTGAACCACCGAAACTATTCCCCCTCTCTCTCAAACACACGCACGCACACGCACGTACGCAGACGCACACACACGCGCTGGACGCAATATCCACTATACAGAAGCGGTTTCACGAATTCTGGTTGGGAATAACTTTTCACGACGATACCTCAATCGTCAGTTTTTATTTATGTGTGAAAAGAATTATTGTATGGCAGCTGATGATGTCCGTCTTAACGCTACTTTTAACAGTATTTTAACATTGACAAGTCGCTGTGATGAGGGGGGAAAGCCCGACGTGTTGCCAGACGCTTGTCGGGAAACCCAAGATCACAGGTCTGGTGTACTTGCCAATTATCCAGTTATCAGGCCTATACTGCAATCGTTTTCAGTAACAACGAGTTAGTATAATATCAATGATCATTCACAATGAGTTAGTATAATATCAATGATCATTCACAACGAGTTAGTATAATATCAATGTTCATTCACAACGAGTTAGTATAATATCAATGATCATTCACAACGAGTTAGTATTACATCAATGTCCATTCACAACGAGTTAGTATAACATCAATGTTCATTCACAACGAGTTAGTATAATATCAATGATCATTCACAACGAGTTAGTATAATATCAATGATCATTCACAACGAGTTAGCATAATATCAATGATCATTCACAACGAGTTAGTATAATATCAATGATCATTCACAACGAGTTAGTATAATATCAATGATCATTCACAACGAGTTAGTATAATATCAATGATCATTCACAACGAGTTAGTATAATATCAATGATCATTCAAAATCAGATTGTATTCAAATTAGGCGCCGAAGACCCGGGTTCGATTCCCCACATGGGCACAATGTGTTAAGCCCATTTCTGGTGTCCCCCGCCGTGATATTGCTGGAATATTTTGCTAAAAGCGGCGTAAAACTAAACTCAGTCAGTCAGTCAAATTAGGTGAATGACAATATCACATTTTTACACCATATGTAGTTTCGCTATGGTTTCCATGGTTTTGAACACATAAATATATTAAGGAGCTGAACTCTTCCATCGTGTTTCCACGGTCTGAGCCCCTCACATGTCCTACAGCGCTCTGCCAGTCACTCGTCAGTCTATATGAGCTGTTATGTCTCCCGAAACGTTATCGTTGTCTGACAACAGAGTGACGTCACGCCTGTATAATCCTAGTACATAGTCCAGACTCCTGGCAGTGAAATGCATTAAGACATGTCACCTCCTGAACGGTATATCAACAGTAACGCTGACGTAACCTTGGGAACCATTCAGGTAATAAACGTTAACGTGTATAGTGTGATTATGATACAGACAGTCCTCCCTTCTATACACACGCACGCACACACGTTTACATACATACACACACATACACTCACATCTGTTTAAATACACCTACATCTATATAAATAAACACGCGCGCGCTAGGAACCAAAAACATTCACACCCACTCCCAGAAAAACACATGCATACAGAAACAGACATATGCACACAGTAGCAGACACATAGACACAGAAACAGACACATAGACACAGAAACAGGCACATACACACAGAAACAGACACATACACACAGAAACAGACACGTACACACAGAAGCAGACACATAGACACAGAAACAGACACATACACACAGAAACAGACACATACATACGACGAACAGACACATACACACAGTAACTGACACATAAACACACTTAGGAACAGACACATAGATTGAAAGAGACACATAAACACACTTAGCAATATACACATACATACAGAAACAGACACATATATCAAAACAGACACATACACACAGAAACAGACACATGCACAGAGGAACAGACACATACACACAGAAACAGACACATGCATTAGAACAGACACATGCATTAAAACAGACACATACACACAGAAACAGACACATGCACAGAGGAACAGACACATACACATAGAAACAGACACATGCACACAGAAACAGACACAGAAACAGACACACAGAAACAGACACATACACACAGAAACAGATAGGTACACACAGAAACAGACACATGCATTAAAACAGACACATACACACAGAAACAGATACGTACACACAGAAACAGACACATGCATTAAAACAGACACATACACATAGAAACAGACACATGGACACAGAAACAGACACGGAAACAGACACACAGAAACAGACACATACACACAGAAACAGACACATAGACACAGAAACAGACACATAAAAACAGAAACAGACACATACACAGAGGAACAGACACATACACACAGAAACAGACACATGCATTAAAACAGACACATGCATGAAAACAGACACATACACATAGAAACAGACACATGCACACAGAAACAGACACACAGAAACAGACACATACACACAGAAACAGACACATACATCAAAACAGACACATACACACAGAAACAGATACGTACACACAGAAACAGACACATGCATTAAAACAGACACATACACACAGAAACAGACACATAAACACAGAAACACACATACATCAAAACAGACACGTACACACAGAAACAGATACGTACACACAGAAACAGACACATGCATTAAAACAGACACATACACATAGAAACAGACACATGGACACAGAAACAGACACGGAAACAGACACACAGAAAGAGACACATACACACAGAAACAGACACATACACACAGAAACAGACACATAGACACAGAAACAGACACATACACACAGAAACAGACACATACACACATACACAGACACGTACACACATAAACAGACACATACACACAGAAACAGACACATAAACACAGAAACAGACACATACACACAGAAACAGACACATACACACAGAAACAGACACATACACATATACACAGACACATACACACAGAAACAGACACGTACACAGAGGAACAGACACATACACATAGAAACCCACACATGCACAGAGGAACATACATATACACACAGACACAGACACATACACACAGAAACAGACACATAGACACAGAAACAGACAGAAACACACGGAAACAGACACAGACACATACACACACAAACAGACACATAGACACAGAAACAGACACATACACATAGAAACAGACACATAGACACTGAAACAGACACACTCACAGTAAATAGACACATACACACAGAAAGAGAAACAGACACATACACACAGAAATAGACACATACACACAGAAACAGACACATACACACATACACAGACACGTACACACATAAACAGACACATACACACAGAAACAGACACATACACACAGAAACAGACACATAAACACAGAAACAGACACATACACACAGAGAAACAGACACATACACACAGACACAGACACATACACATAGAAACAGACACATAGACACAGAAACAGACACAAACACACAGAAACAGACACAGACACATACACACAGAAACAGACACATAGACACAGACACAGACAAATACACACAGACACAGACACATACACACAGAAACAGACACATAGACACAGACACAGACAAATACACACAGAAACAGACACATAGACACTGAAACAGACTCACAGAAATAGACACATACACACAGAAACAGACACATAGACACAGAAATAGACACATACACACAGAAACAGACAGATACCTTAAAACAGACACATACACACAGAAACAGATCTAGACACGTGCACACAGAAACAGACACGTACGGACAGAACACACAAAGAGAGAAAGGCTCAGATACACAAACACTTGGACTTCAGAACATACACACAAATAGGAATGCACATCAAACAGAGACCCAGACACAAGATACGAGACTTGAACCCAAACTTTAATTTTTAAAATATCTGGTTTGGCAGCTATAGTTACAAAACATATCTATTCTCATACATACACTCGTCTATTATGTTCTCCGGTTATGTAAGACATTTTTAAATCCAGTTCTGCATTATGTGTTGTTATATAACCGTGCAGGGAGTCAAAGGTCAGCAGACACACTCTGTGCTGCTCAAACATCGCGTTGTGTCACGGCCCAGCCTCATGCTGTCATAATGAAAACGATAGAGAGTCCCGCCTCAAGCGTAAGTGAGTCCCGTGCAACCCAGTTCACAACTCTATTCGAGAAATATAAAAATAATGTTAGTCTTACACTATAGTGAGTCAAGTCGAGGCCAATCTCGAACTTTATTTAGGAATAATTTCAATGAATGTGTGATGGACATTAGGACACTGCGTCAGTTCCGTCAGATCCCGTGTGTGTTGCCGCTCAGTGTTGACACCTGGGAAAAGCCAGAACTGAAGATAAGATTTACAGTATCCTATGCAACTCATTTCTCCAACTTGCCTTATGCTCGCTGGTACTGATTCTACTGTACGCTTCTGTTCTATTTCACACAAAACTGGCGATATTTGCGTTTCCAGCAATACTGAACATCCTGAACAATTCACAGTGTGATATGGTTATAGAATAATTCCCCACTACGTTTTTCAAAACACCAAATACATTCCATACATACATATACTTACAATACACACAATACATACGTGTCTGTTTGGTCCATGATGTATGAAAACCATGCGATATATTTACTTTTTTAAATACGTCTGCTGTTATACCCTTCACCCCACCGCAGAATATATGCATGACGTAAGTTACTTTCTGCATTGAGTATAGCATCGTGCTCCGATTGGCCCTTGATCATCTGCTGCCGTTATGCCAGTGTAACCATGCTCACAAGGTTGTGTCATTATTTGGTCTGGGGGACTATTTTCCGCACTTAAATATTTCACCTTTGCCAAATTAGGGTCAGACAAGGTAATCGCTCTAATCACTGCCTCTTATCATCAGACCGATTTGTTGACAAGTGCATCAGATGTTCAAAGCGGAAAAGTCAACAGATTTTCTCACTGTGATTCACGTGATCAGGTTAAGTCTCGTGAGGTCACGGATGAGTGAATCGGGTAGAAAGATGCAGTGTCCGCGACATCCATATCGGCAAACGTCGGCAGCTGTGAGGACGGGGCGAGCAAGACGGAGGTATGTATTTTCTTGTTCATTTCGCTGTCAGTACTTTCGATTGACAAGTTGACACATACATAGACACATTGTGGACGGTCTGCTGCCAACAGTAACACACGATGGGGGTATCGTGAACATCATTTAAGACGTTTAATGTGTTAATATTATTTAGTGAATATCAATATTGTGTCCTTTGCTACGTTTTCTGTTACTTGTGTTATATCCATCTGTTACATCCATTTCTGCTGGTGGACTGAAATTCCCGAGCTTCATCTTAAGCTCGGTAGCATATTTCAGTATGCTGAGTCAAAAGAAATGTTGGGTGCGAGACATTAAAACAGGCCGCAATGTTTTAGTAAAACAAATCTATTCTCCGTACTTCCACAAAGATGTCAATTAAAAATGATCTAACTGTATTTTCCGGGACATCGATCACTTGATTATCTGTTTTATTTACACCTAAATAATCGTGTGTAAATATTGTGAATAGCGAGTGCTACCGGTAGATGAGGACAGGCTTACCCTCTTCTCGAACACCTGGTGTCAACACTGACTTTCAGGGATCCATTTCTATAATTTTACAGCTGTATTTCCCTTTACAACAAACGGAATTTGTTGTTTCTGAGGATAGTCAAAACTAGCTAACCCTTTTCACTGTATGGTAGTGCATTGTATACGTAGAAAAAAGACACTGAATAGCTTTGAAGTTTGTGTCAAAGTATGTGTCTGAGCTAGGTTATTGAGGCGAGGTATCGTACAAAGGGGGCGGGATTGGTCCGAATACAGTTTGCTAACCTCACACCATTATATGTAACACTGTTTCGTCTTCCCCTTTCTTCAATAGATGTAACATTTCATTCTGACCCCCACCCCTACGATCATGTGATGAAGGTTGACGACATCCCGCCCCTGCTCCTCATTCCTAAGGCAACCGGTCTGCTTTCTGTGCATCCCTCTGTGTGTGTGTGTGTGGGTGTGTGTGGGTGTGTGTCTTAGTTGACATTTTCCTGGCGATCGTGTACTACACTTGCTTTCTTTCATTATCAACCCGAACTACGTGGTCAATACATAGTATACCAGCAACAGGATACTTGAGTCACAGGGGCGGTGGTAGCCAAGTGGTTTAACGTTCGCTCGTCACGCCGAATGCCCATGTTCGATTCCCACATGGGAGATAACCATGGGTGAATTATTATTCGATCATTGGATGTCAATCTCAACGGCACATCGTGTTATCAATCTCAACTCCCTGGGGAGTATGCAACTCTTGCAGCCACTAGGCGCACAGAGTTATTGTGGCTTTCTCATCCTAACGAGGTACCCATTCACAGCTGGGTGGACTGGGACACATAGTCACAGTACTTTGTTCAAGTCCATTGCACGTTGCTGTACCCGCAACTAGGTGTTTGCACGTATTCCTGTGGCCATCATCTGGTCATATACCAACGGATTCGTGGGTTCTTTTAAGTGCACAGGGTTGTGTACTGTACACTAGGGGTTGTGACAACACTGAAAGAGTCTGCACACAAAGTTGACTCCAAGGTTTTTACACCCGGTCACAGGTGGGCTCGATCCCGACACCTCAACCTCGCTGGATCACTAGCCTGGCGACTTAGCCAGCTCGCCCACCGCACCTTCGCGTAAACCCATTTATGGTTCCTTAACCGTGATATTGATGGAATATTGCTAAAAGCGGCGTAAAAATCAACTCGCTCACTCACTTGTGTCATGTGTAAACCAGCTGTTTCTGGCAGTGCGACAATATAACTATAAATCGAAAGGAACAGTAATTATTATCAGCTTGAACTATTACCACAAGGAACTGCGTTGTATGAAGGACAAAACAGCAAGGTCAGCAGAACTCACTCCAGTACCACGGGAAACGTCTTGTGTCTATAACTGTCTTTAGCATTCACAGTCGATGACATAACATCAGCCCTCTCAGATCACCAGTACAAATTCCCTACCCATCAAATCAAATTTGACGAATTCGAAGTCCTATCAACCGAAAATCAGGACTTCACCAAAAGAAAACTGTTAGAAGCCATCCGCCTCCACAAACCTTTGATCAACAGAGACCAAGGATACTACATACCATCGGCCTATGAAAAATTAATTAAGCTATAGACCATCAATAGCACCCTGTCTATTTGTTGTTACTACTTACCCCCCTGTTTATTGGCTTCAACACCAGGGCTGTTTGTTGATTTTAGTCCCCTCCTGCCCACTTCAAATTATGTACCACTTGTTCTTTGATTACCTGCTGTTGTTAATTTTAATCTGCTCCTTGTCATAACATACCATGTATATATTCTTCTCACAATTCGGTTGTCACATTTAGCTTAATAAAGATGTAAGAATCTACATCGAAACGCCGCTTAATGCAATAAACAAGAACATATGTTATATTTGGGATTACATATTCTAGAACTTTTGTTGGGTTGAGTCCCATCCGGGATTCGAACCCACACCCTCAGACTCAGGCACCTAATCGCCAGCACACAAAATCAGCCGCCTAACCCGCTCAGCCACCGCTACTTCCACTGTGTGTCCACAAATAAACCCCAACAATGCACCTGATCACAAATTGGTGTGATTTATCGTCACGCACAGTGGAGGCGGTTTTGAAAAATTATTGTAACCGATATCTTGCTCTTAGCAATTTTCAAACAATATCTAGGTTCCAGAAATGTTTCACACGTACGCGGAATGGAACCTTTGCCTTCGGAGTGACCAGGCTATCCAACCGTCCCCTGTGGTGTTGACGGTTTTGTTGTATTTTCTTGCAATGACTTTTTGTATGTGTAACACAGACGTTAAGTATCTGGCGTCTATGGCATGTTATTCTACCGTTGCAGACTGATTGTGCCATTACTATGTTGGAGAACATGCTGGCGGCCATGCTTGTCTGTCTGTGCGTCACTACATCCGGGGTAGCTGGAGACAGGCTGTTCTATGTTGCGGCCACTGAGGAGTATTGGAATTATATGCCGCTAGGTGGCGACGTCGTCAACATAGAGAGGTATGTACGATGGAGTGAGTGAATGAGTGAGTGAGTGACTTAGTTAAAGAGTGTGTGTGTGTGTGTGTGTGTGAAGGTTGGGTGGGTGGGGTGGGTGGTGGTGGTGGTGATGGTGGTGGTGATTTTTTTGGATTAAATGAGCCTGGACAAACTGTATACATACATATATTCATGCAGGGATCAAACTTGGTCCTGTGTCTGAGGAACGAACATTTATACCACTCGCCCTGCTCCCTGCCATGCAACACTTGGATGCAATATTTTGTACAGTTTGATAACATTAATCAGTTTACATCCACTTAACTCAGGACGGGGGTATACGGATCAAATTATTTCAGCCACAAACATCACGTGGTAATATCACAAAGAAAGGAATGTACATTGTGTTAAAAGCTTATTTAAATGCTTCCATATTTCTCTGACACTACACACAAGTTGGTGTTGAAGGTATACAGACTAAGTGTATAATGCACCTGCGCGTTTTCAGTTATTAGTGAAGAATCATAATTAAATCATATTGCATACTACGTGAATAAATCAAATAACATTAGTTACACATGTGAAAAAATGCCACTTCCCAAACAGCACCCGTCGTTATTCTAAACGTTCCGGCACGTTTTCGTTTACACCTGTTGTCATACTCGTGGCTACCGTTTAGGAATTTCTTTGATATTAATTTCGAGATAAAACAATTATCTATAAAAAGACTGTATTCTCAGACCTTTGTAATGTATGAGCAGTAAAAACGTCTCAATATTTATCCATGTGTCCAAACTGGTGTCACAGAGACAATACATGTCGAATATTGTCACTTCCGTTCAGAGAAAATAATTGTGTGTCTTTTTGCCTTGACTGACAAAATACTATCTGCCTGAAACAAACGTAAAGCACGTTTCTCCTCTACATGATCATAACGTCGTCGGTCCCGACTTATACTATACAAAATAAGTTTGGAACATCCACTTCAGTCATATTACTACAGCAAGTCTGCCATACCATATTTGCTCTAGGAATAGGAAGGAATCGGTGTTCATCATCACCGTTTGAGTAGTATACATAACCAGCGGAATGCTAACATCGTTCAGGTCAGTCTGGGGACGAAAGTCAGTGCGTGTGTGGCTGTTCAACGTACATCCTTTAAATAACCTGTCCTCAAAATATTTTTATTCTAAGGTTTCATTTTTATTAATTATAACCAAAGTGATGCGTAAATATGCTGAACCATCTTAAATACTGTTAAACTATTGGGTCCCTCAAAATAGAAAGTCTACGAATAGGAGATATATTTTCTGCTCAGTCTGATTACGGAATACAGTTCTCAGTTACAAACAGAGGTCCGCGAGCTGCAGGTGCTTGGATTGCCCTGGGGAGACATCACGTGACTTGGGGCTTCCCAGCGTTGTGTCTGCAAATGGTAGATCTTTGTCCAAGATGGTGGTATATTTCAGACTGAAAACCAGCAGTGCGAAGTCGGGACACCATGGAGATGGTCTTGTGTTCAAGAAGGCAATCTACAGAGAGTACACAGACGAAACCTTCAGCACAGAGAAACACAAGCCGACATGGCTGGGATTTGTCGGACCGATTCTGTACGGCGAGGAGGGCGAGTTCATCAACGTCACTTTCTTCAACAACGCCAGCAGGACCTTCTCCATGCACCCCCACGGCGTCATGTACAGCAAACACAATGAAGGTCAGCTCTTGACATATACTATTTTAAGAATACATCAGGCAGTAGTGTATGTTCGTAGCCAAACTGGGTATCAAAGTCTGTTACATGAATAGATTATGACATAAATAGTTCATTTTAGGTGCATGTTTTGTGGCGCTCAAGCACCTTAATTGTATAATTTGGGAATAGATATCTGTTCGTGACAAAAGTTTCAGATCGGAATACGCAACGCCTTTCAGAAAACTGTCATATGTTACATATGTTAGTGCTTGAATTACAATTTCACGGAAAAGAAATTCTAGAACTTTTGGAGTTTAATTCCATCGGGTTTCGAACCCACACTCACAGAGTGAGGCAACTGATCACCGGCACAGTCACCGATCTAGCCCACTGAGCCATCGTGGCTTCCACAAAGATGGAAGTCTGATAACTGGTAGTCTGATCACAAACTTTCTGTACCCTTCTGTGTGTAATCACAGCTTTCGGTCATGAGAGATCGGTACTTTACTGAGAAAGTGTAATCCCAAATATAACATAGTCTGAGGTCAAGGTCAGATATCCGTCCTCACTCCAACGGCAGTGTGCGAAACTGTTTCCAAATTTTGTGACTCGGTCGGGCTAGCTATGCCTGAAAGTTACTTGCCCACAAAATAATTCACTAGCCCGAAATCTGAATGTAGAAACTGAGCAAAAGATTACAAAAATTGATGAGAATAAGATATTGTTGGCATGACACGGATTTCATTAAGCTGCTTACATGATGAACATTTTTATCAGACCATAATCTTGCAGGATTTAAAAAATATTATAACTTAACAAGTCGGAGAGAGTGATATATTTACAAAATGACCCTATGAAAATTTACTAGCCAGTCGGGCCAGTGACTGGAGATTTACTGGCCCGACTGGACTTTTACTACCCACGGGCTAGCGGGCCAGTGACTATTTCGTAAACTGTCCAGCGGTACACCCAACAGACATGTACTTCCTGCTCCTGAATGCCACACAACCCCTTGAATACGTTGTACAAGGATGGTCTCATGTTTAGCCCAAATTTTCCACTTCCCTATAGGTGCGGCGTATGCGGACGGTAGCCATGACAACTACACGACCACACCTCCTGATATCGTGGAACCTGGATGTACCTTTACTTACAAGTGGAAAGTAACGCCCAACTCTAGCCCGTCAGAGGGCGACCCGGACTGTCTGACATGGCTGTACCACTCCCACGTGGATACCGCCAAGGACACCAACTCAGGGCTGGTCGGGTTCCTACTGACCTGTAGACGAGGTACTGGGCCACACATATTGTCAAAACAGTTCTTGAAGAATGAGGACTATTTTTATGGATATAGTCCTCATTCTTCATCAACCAACCTTCTAGAATGCCAATCAAAGAAGTTAAACTGTTCAATAATGTTGAAACCGAACATATTTTTAACAATTAACGATTCGGTGATCTGGTCGCAGATGACGAATCTTTGACAGCATAAAGATCAGAATAGAAGGCAAAAATGAGCTGATCCTGCTAGTTTCGACACGAAACGTCTTCGCGCAGGAACAAAAAATTGGTTGGTCATTCTTCGTATATTCTCCAAATAGATTGTGCGTATAGTATTACTGCAGATTGTGTGTTAGTAAGCTGGGTTTACCGCTGTTTCAAACAGTATATCAGTTTTGTCAGGGCGTTATATAGTGCACATACGAACTGCATATGGTGCCGACAAACTTAGAAACTACTTAACCATGGTGCCGACAAACTTAGAAACTACTTAACCAGGGTGATCGAGATTCGAACCCACAATTATATGATCATGACTGACACAGTCAAACCAACTTGATCGTGAGATCAATGAGTGAGGTACTTTCTTTGTACCCCATCCAAATATTGTTTGACGGTATCATATCATTGTGTTATGGCAGGTGCTCTCAACAACACAAACCTCGACCGCCACTACGCCTTGTACGTCACCACCGTGGACGAGTCCAAGAGCTGGTACATCAACGACAATGTGAAACACTTCTCTCGCAACATCAGCACCGAAGATGTGGGCTTCAGTTGGACGTCCTCCATCCACGCCATCAACGGCTACGTGTTCGGCAACCTCCCCGACATCACAGCCTGTGTTGGAGAAACAGTCACGTGGCATATGGCCGGCCTAGGGTCATCCCAGGATCTCCACTCGCTGTCCATCAGTGGCCATTCTTTCGAATACTTCCATCACAGGTGACACCATCAGTAGATTCTACTTTCTCATGAGAGTATCTCGCTTGTCGTTCCTAGGTAGAATACTGTGGGGTGATTGCAAACAAACAGGTACTCCAGTATCAATACTTGGTAGTATCTCTGGACAGGCCTTCCAAAGACAACAATGTATTCAGAAAGCGACGTGTAAGAAGCTCCTGGATTGCATGTAGTCTTGTCTGAATATAACTCCCACTCAATCCACCATTACTTCAGTGTGTAGGATGTACAACCCCCATTCCCAGTTCCCATTCTCCACGCTTGTTTCCCTGTGGAAGCTATGGAGAAGCCCCACTACCCTTTGTTTCCGGGACAGATTAATTTACCATGACGCCTTGACGCGTCAAAAAACACAATACTTTGAAATATCGTACTTGTTTTCCTACCTGTCAGTTGGCATTAAGTGGTTATGTCAAGAACTGTTCGGCTCGGAGTCAGCAGAATATTGTCACAGTGGGAGATAGATGTTAAACTGCAGCATGGTACATACTTCAGTGAGCCAGCATTATGAAACAGGCAGAGGTCTGGACACTCTCTCACACGTCGCCATATAAATGCAATAAAATTGAACGCAATAATTAAACATTACCTCATTCACAGGAGATATACAAACCAGAGGAGACAAATGTTCTTGTTAAAATAAAACTTTGTCTTTTGTCAAGTTCAAGGATGGTTTGCCCTTGATGCTGTGTGCTCTCACATGTTTTATCTATGTAATGCACAAATGACAGCTTCTTTGTTAAGTTTGCCGACTACGCAGCGCTGATCGGATACATATAGCAGTCTGAAACTGATTACTGCTTCAAAATTGGTGCAAAACAAAGTTTTACTTTAAAGTTAAAAAGACGAATGAAATGATTGACAGAACTTCTGCCTGTTGTGACTGATAACAGAACTATTGATTTTTAGCGGTACAACTATCTTGTCTCAGACTGCGTCTAAACTTACTTGGATGCTAACACGGAACATATTTATAGAAAACCCCAAATAGTGATTGTTTTTATTAGGGCATCTTAGGTATCTTAATCTTGATAATACAATATTCCGTCTGTCATAGAACATCTATTCGAAGCATTATATTTTTTATGCAGGTATTGCAGCCCTTCTGTTCAAAGTTAATCTAAAATTCACAAAAGTTTAAATATATTAAGCACAAGTTCAGATACCCATTTTCGAAACATCGGCGATATACATGAGCGGCAAATTGTCAGAAAGGCACGTAAGATACTAACTGACAGTTGTCATATGCTTCAGTCGGAATATCAGTTTCTATCTTTGCCGACGGACACGTGAAGTGCCTTGTTAGAATTGGTCTTCAGCAAACCCAAGCTTGTCGGGGTCGGGTGGTCAGGCTCACTGACTTGGTTGCCTTATGTTATCGTTTATGGTGTTGATCACTGGATTGTCTGGTCCAGACTCGATTATTTACAAACCACCGCCGTACAGCTGGACTATTGATGAGTGTGGCGTTGAACAAACAAACCTTCGACGCCAACTGCGCATGTCGATGCTGAACGCAATTGGGCCCGGAAAACCTTCATACCAGCCAATATTAGTCAGTTAAATGATCATAATGTTTAATGGACTAATGGTCACAATACACATTTTATATGTGTCATTATTCCTGTTATCCTTTTATGAAAGTTTACTATAGCTCTGACGAGTACCAGATATATTTATGCTTTTAAATATCATTCCTTGTACCCTGTGATAATCCCCAGTTTTCTTCCTTTTCGTCCTTCTTAATGTTATTGTTAGTTCATTGGGGATACGACGAGTGACCTTCTGGTTTGGTGGACTTCGCACGATCAGTCTAGATTGTAATTGGGAACGGGTTGACTTGTTTTTTGAAAATACTTTTTTCGAAAATGCTGAAACAAAATACTGATATGGACAAATTCCTTCTGATATATAGTACTAATGACTTCTTGTTTCAGACAGAACACCATCAACCTGGACGTGGCCCAGTTTTCTACTGCCACCACCACTGCGGTTTCTCCGGGCAGGTGGCGCATCAGCTGTCAGGTGGCCGAGCATGCTGCAAGTAAGGCGACCAGAGTTACTTCCCTTGTATGTAGCCTCTTCCCTGCTTTCGTTACATCAAACAATTCGCATGGTTTTCACATTCTCAGATTGTGTACGACCAAATGCTAGTGTGGTGAAATATTGCTTTCTTCGATAGAGAGTCGGGTTTCAGGATTCCTCTCTTAGGAGGGTATAGTCAGGTGCAGCTGGCAGTTTCTCGCTACAGAATCTCATCACCAACCCACTCACTAACTCACCCATCCATGTCATCACCAACCCACTCAACTTAACTCACCCATCCATCCATCACTCATCACCCAATCCATCTCATCACCCACCCACTCACTCACCCATCCATCTCATCACCTCACCCACTCACTAACTCACCCATCCATCCATCACCACCCACTCACTAACTCACCAATCCATCCCATCACCCACCCACTCACTAACTCACCAATCCATCCCATCACCCACCCACTCACTAACTCACCAATCCATCTTATCACCACCCACTCACTAACTCACCGATCCATCTTATCACCACCCACTCAATAACTCACCAATCCATCCCATCACCCACCCACTCACTAACTCACCAATCCATCCATCACCCACCCACTCACTAACTCACCAATCCATCCATCACCCACCCATCATCACTAACTCACCAATCCATCCATCACCCACCCACTCACTAACTCACCAATCCATCCATTATCACTAACCACCCACTCAATCACTCACCCAATCCATCCCATCACCCACCCACTCACTAACTCACCAATCCATCCATCACCCACCCACCCACTCACTAACTCACCAATCCATCTTATCACCACCCACTCACTAACTCACCGATCCATCTTATCACCCCCCACTCAATAACTCACCAATCCATCCCATCACCCACCCACTCACTAACTCACCAATCCATCCCATCACCCACCCACTCACTAACTCACCAATCCATCCCATCACCCACCCACTCACTAACTCACCAATCCATCCCATAACCCACCACTCACTAACTCACCAATCCACCCCATCACCCACCCACTCACTAACTCACCAATCCATCCCATAACCCACCCACTCACTAACCCACCAATCCATCCCATCACCCACCCAGTCATTAACTCACCAATCCATCCCATCACCCACCCACTCACTAACTCACCCATCCATCTCATCACCTACCCACTCACTAACTCACAAAATGTTTGTTTATATTGACGCTTTTTCAGTCTTAATTCGTATTGAGGGGAAAGAACCAAGAAACAATTACTTTGTTGTGGCCTAGCATTTCGAAGCATGTATCTATAAATGTTCAGTCTTGTTTCCGCAGACGGGATGGTAGCCATCTTTGCCGTCCGGATGTGCGATCGTCTGCGATATCAGCCGACGTACCTCCGCAACCTCCGCAGGCACTACATTGCGGCGGAGGAAATTATCTGGGACTACGGACCTACAGGCAGAAACTTATTCACTGGCGACCTCCTCACCGAACAAGGAAGGTTGTTCTCAGTTAATATGTTACAGATATATCATGTAAACAAACTCCCCTGCTCTGTCAATATGAGTTAGCCGACGAATGACGCAATGGCGGATGTATCGCAAAGTCACTGTAGGCTGCGATACAGGCTTAATCCTGGCTAAACATGCGTACATTAATTTATCGCTCTTGCTACGAATAACTGTTGTTTTATGTAGCGTTCGCCTGGAGAGGGGAGGTCGGGGTTCGAATTCCAGTCGTCATATTATACCAAAATGACCTTAATGACGGAACTATTTGCCCTGGTGGGCGCTCGTGTCTTGCTGTACTGGGTGTACTCGGTGTACTCGTAACGTGAGTGAGGTGTTCTTCGTAACCTGCGACATAGTATACTCTTCAACTTGACATGCTGTTTTGGAGTTTACTTACTGAGTGCATATAACTGATTCAAACATGACATCATTGCTCAGTTACAGTAAAATCATTACTTTACAAATTTCCAAAACATGATTATCCAGAAAGTGTTTGGTAAAACCACAGAGGGCTATTAAGCCACTTGGTCAGAGTATAATGTCAGTATCTGGTGTGATCAGCTTGGCAGCGGTGACCCATTGAAAAAATGGGATGTCGAATGCTGCCTTGAGGGATGTTTTGATACACTTGCTGAAGTGCTGTGTGCAGTTCTTGTAGTGTCTGAGGTGGCGGATTACGCTGGCGCAAGCGTCGATCAAGAGTATCCCATATATGTTCAATGGGAGACAAATCCGGTGATCGAGAAGGCCAAGGTAACAACTGAACGGTTTTTTGCCTGTCAAACACGTCCAACGTGAGGTCGAGCATTGTCATGCTCCAATTATCACGTTGATGTAGGGAACGACGTGACGTTGAACTGGTCTTCTGGCAACACGTCTTGCTTCCCATAGCCAAATGCGCACTGTCTGGTCGGAGATTCGGAGCAGTCCAGGGATTTGGATTGTTGTGGATGATGCGGCCGTGGTGTTTGAACGAACATGCCTCAACCGGATGTAGCGATCCTGGGCGGGGTGGTAACTCCAGGTCGACCTGACCCGGGTCAGTCATTAACACTCCCAGGATTTTTGTTGGCAATGAGCTTCTGTCAGTCTTTTCATTCTTTTGTCCTCTATAGTGGCTTAAAGCAATGCATGTGGAGTATCATTGATGTGGCTTTTTAAAGCCTACAGTCGTAGGCTTCAGCTCAGGGTGATACACAATTTCATGATACTCGTGCATTTCATGTAGGGTGCGTTTTAACGAATCACTACAGACGTGAGTGTAACATTACGTTTTTGTTAAACGTTTCTTTTTTCAAACGTTTTGTCGTCGGCAACCATTCCCCCACATGCTGGGATTCAGCATGGATTGGTTTGTGTCAAATATTTTCTTAATATTCAAATTTGTCCAATGTCAAGATTCATTTTGAGTATACATTATATCAGCGGGCTAGCACTATAAAACCGAATGTTATATGCAGACACACAGAGGCATACAAGGATGTACATACATGTGTATGTCAGATGCTTACTATGTTGGTGTGCTTACTGCTGGTGCTTACTTGTCTAGTGGTTAGGTCTAAGTGTTCACCTGACACAGCTAAGTTCCAGATTTGTGTCACGATGCCCCTTGACTGTTCGTTAGTTTGTTATTTAACGCCACCTTCTGCAATGACTGCGGTCTGTAAATTATCGAGTCTGAACCAGACAATCCACTGATCAGCATTATGAGCATCGATCTACGCATTTGGGATACGATGACATGAGCCCGACCACCCGATCCCGTTAGTCGCCTATTACGACAAGCATGGGTTGCTGAAGACCAATTCTAACCCCGATCTTCACTGATTCTCCGTGACTGGATATGAACAATGTCTTGTAGTCAGGTCGTAAAGCTGGTCTGGTCAGCGACTTGAGACTTCGCACAATCTCTGTTTCAGTGAATCTGAAAAGTATTTCAAGCGAGACAACCACCACATCGGTGGAGCGTACAAGAAGGCTGTCTTCAGTGCATATGACGACTACAAGTTTAAAGCCAAGAAAGTCGAAGATGGCCGCTGGAAGCATAACGGTTTTCTTGGTCCTGTGATACGAATCGAGGTTGGAGATTTGGTTCAAGTCACCTTCAAGAACATAGCAAGTCGTCCCTACTCCTTGTATGCTGAAGGCGTGAAGGTTTTGAAGAGCAGTGAGGGAGCCGAGTACAACGACGGCAGTGACGGTAAGAAAACGTCACGTCGTTGACCTTGACCTTTAACGTCATGGCACACTCGATTATCCAGTGTAAGAATCCACGTTCTATTGCACTGAATGCAGTGGATCGATTCTGCAAGCAATGTTCTCATCCGCACCATCCAGATGTATTTTTCAACAACTTGGCACATAATTTCCCTTGCTCATAGTTGTACGGACATTTGTTGCGCTATGTTGATTCTGGCTTAGAAAGGCGCTTTAATTTTGTAATCCATGTGGGAAGGGAATTCATTGCTATAGAATGACGATATATTACACACGGTAGTCGAACCAGTCTCATCGTTGCATTCAGTAGTTCGTTTGCTTGGCGTCTCGCAACAAGATATTGCCGGGTTACTGCCCAAACATATTTATTCCCCGTTATCTATTTATTCATAAGAATTGCACTAAAGGAATATTATGAAAATATTAATGTCGAAAATAGTGACCTACCATTCGTAAGCTATGATATGATCACTGTACTGTTCCCATAGCAACAGCTGACAACAGGGTGCCCCCTGGCGGGACCATCACATACTACTGGACAGTACCGGAAGAGATGGGACCGACGGACAGCGATCCACAATGTCTCACGCGGGTATACACATCCGGTGTCAACCCCATTAAAGACATGTACAGTGGGTTGATCGGGCCATTGCTGATATGCAAACGAGGAACTCTTAATGGACGGAACGAGCAGGTGCGTGAAACCAAGTGGCGACACAAAGAGTTGGTGTTGTTGTAAGATTTAAAGGGGTGGGGGTGTGTGTGTGTGTGATGGGGTGGGGTGAAGGGTTGCACGCATCCCCCATTTGGCGGACACCATACACATACTCACTCACCTGACCCCCAAATCCTCACTCACTCACTCCTACTTGCCAGATAAACGTGGACCGGGAGTTCCACCTGCTGATGTCTGTGATGGACGAGAATGAGTCGTGGTACCTGGACGACAACATCGACCTGGCCGGGGTGGACGTCAGCTCCACAGACAGCCGCCACTTCTCCGACTCCAATCTCATGCACAGTAAGTACCTGTCGTGAACATCCGGGTTACAATGTATCTTCAGATACCTCCACTTGTCGTAAGAGACGACTAACGGGATCGATGGGTCAGATTCGTTGACCGAGTGGACGCGTGGGATCGTATTCCAATTGCGTAGATCGATTGTTTGATCGACATTCTAGATAGTTGGTGTGTCAACAACAACAGTCACAACTTCAAAGATAACAACTTCTTGTTTATTGCACCTTTTGGCGTTGATTCTTGAGCATATGGCATTGAGCACCAGGGAGGCGCAGGTAGGCCCAGAAAATTGACTGTCGGTGACAGGAGGCGGCTTGGTATTCTTGTTTCTAAAAACAAACGAAGGAGTTTAGAAAACTTAAGGCTGGATATGATTGAAAGAGGAACTGTGGCTGTCTGTAAGGAGACAATTAGAACTGAGCTGCATGCAATGGGTTGGCAGAAAAGTCGAGGAATTCCATCACCGATCATAAAACCTTAACAAAATGAGCGAAGGTTGAACTGGTGCTTACAGCATAGAAATTTTAACTGAGACAATGTGATTTTCTCAGATGAAAGTTCTGTGTGTCTGTTTCCTAATACACTGCAATTCTGGACCAAACAAACTGAAAAACCTTTGTATCAGCGCCCAAAGTACAGTCCGAAATTTAACGTGTGGGGTGGCATATCTGTGTTAGGGGCAACGCCCCTCTGTGTATTTGAAGGGAATATGAACAGTAGATATTCTCGAGGGACATTTACTTCCATCTGCTCACGTGTTCTATGGAACGACCCAGAACATCGTTCAAAGCATTCACAGGCCTGGTTTCGGACCCAGAATATGACATTATTAGATTGGCCAAGCTATAGCCCTGTCCTAAATCCAATAGAAAATGTTTGGGGACTTATGAAGGAAAGTGTCAATAAGAAAAATCTGACAAATATTGCTGAAATGAAAGAAGAGGTGGTCCGATATTGGAATAGCATGGACCAGGACTTTCTAACTTCTTTGATCAGTAGTATGCCCCGCCACATTGAAGCCTGCATTGCTGCCCATGGTGACTTGACAAAATACTAACTGTTCACCTGTCTTTGAATTTGGAGTTATGTTCTGCTAATATTCACATTTAATACGTGAGTAATGAGTGAAAAAAAAAAATTACAATCTTTAAATTCTCAAAAATTTCTGGTTGTATTGTAGCTTTTGATGATTGTGAGTTCATTTGAGAGTAACACGGTATGAACTGATCTGTAGAAGCAGCCATATGATAACAGCTGATCAGTTTACATCGTATAGCGTATGGCACGTAGACAAGGGATGTGTGTTTGTTGTTTGACGTCGTACTCAGCAATATGCAAGCCAAATGACTGCGGTTTGTGTACAACCTATTCTGGACTAGATGGTTGATTGATTGAGTTTAGTTTTACGCCGCACTCAGCAATATTACAGCGATATGGCGGCGGTCTGTAAATAATCGAGTCTGGTCCAGACAATCCAATGATCAGCAGCATGAGCATCGATCTACGCAGTTGGGATGACACGTGTCAACCATGTCAGCGAGCCTGACCATCCGATCCCGTTAGTCGCCTCTTACGACAAGCATGGGTTACTGAAGATCAATTCTAACCCGGATCTTCACGGGTTCTGGACTAGATAATCCAGTGATTGATGCAATGAGCAAGGACCCTGCCCGGAGAATCCATTAAATCTCGTCAGCCAGATTCCCCAGGAGGGGCACAGAAGGAAGTACTCACGTACGAGCTGATAACCCCTGACGTTAATGCGCTGCCATATAGTTGGAATATTGCTGAGTGTGGCATAAAACTAAACTCTCTCACTCACTGCCGTTAATGTGTGTCTGTTGTAGGCATCAACGGTCTGATGTACGGGAACCTTGAGGGGTTGGACATGTGCGTGGGCGACCGCGTCAGCTGGCACGTCCTCAGCATCGGCACAACAGTGGACATCCACTCAATGTATTTCCATGGAAACCCGTTCTCGCGTGTGCACACCCACCGCATAACCACCTTCCTGATCCCCGGGTCGAGGAGGACATTGTACATGACCCCGAGATGCTCAGGTAATTCACAGAGTACTGACCTCCCAGATCAAGGAGAACCCTGTACATGACCCCGAGATGCTCAGGTAATTCTCAGTACCAACCTCCCAGATCAAGGAGAACCCTGTACATGACCCCGAGATGCTCAGGTAATTCTCAGTACCAACCTCCCAGATCAAGGAGAACCCTGTACATGACCCCGAGATGCTCAGGTAATTCTCAGTCCTGATCTCCCAGATCAAGGAGAACCCTGTACATGACCCCCAGATGCTCAGGTAATTCTCAGTCCTGACCTCCCAGATCAAGGAGAACCCTGTACATGACCCCGAGATGCTCAGGTAATTCACAGTATCAACCTCCCAGATCACATGACCCCGAGAGAACCCTGTACATGACCCCGGGATGCTCAGGTAATTCACAGAGTCCTGATCTCCCAGATCAAGGAGAACCCTGTACATGACCCCGAGATGCTCAGGTAATTCTCAGTACCAACCTCCCAGATCAAGGAGAACCCTGTACATGACCCCGAGATGCTCAGGTAATTCACAGAGTCCTGACCTCCCAGATCAAGGAGAACCCTGTACATGACCCCGAGATGCTCAGGTAATTCTCAGTACCAACCTCCCAGATCAAGGAGAACCCTGTACATGACCCCGAGATGCTCAGGTAATTCTCAGTACTGACCTCCCAGATCAAGGAGAACCCTGTACATGACCCCCAGATGCTCAGGTAATTCTCAGTACCAACCTCCCAGATCAAGGAGAACCCTGTACATGACCCCCAGATGCTCAGGTAATTCTCAGTATCAACCTCCCAGATCAAGGAGAACCCTGTACATGACCCCGAGATGCTCAGGTAATTCACAGAGTCCTGATCTCCCAGATCAAGGAGAACCCTGTACATGACCCCGAGATGCTCAGGTAATTCACAGAGTCCTGATCTCCCAGATCAAGGAGAACCCTGTACATGACCCCGAGATGCTCAGGTAATTCACAGTACCAACCTCCCAGATCAAGGAGAACCCTGTACATGACCCCGAGATGCTCAGGTAATTCTCAGTACTGACCTCCCAGATCAAGGAGAACCCTGCACATGACCCCCAGATGCTCAGGTAATTCTCAGTACTGACCTCCCAGACATTTCAGTCCAGATTTCTTTAATCAAAGGTTTGAAAATTTACAGATTATCTCGACTCTTTTCCATCACTATGAAACAATATGTTGTCTTTGAAAACTTCAGACACTGAATATTTACCAATTTCGGTTCTGATTTCAAAATAATGTCTAACTCAGTATAAACAATAAGTTCTGACATGATTGACAAGTTCAATAAACAGTCTGGGTCCACTGTGTTTTATAAGTGTTGCTTATCATGCACCTGCGATTCAACAAAATCACTTTCATGATATCCCACGCCATCCCATATCATGATATATAGAGAATCTCACCCGAGTGTCTTTTGATATCAAATATATCACCACGAGTTGATAAAGTAACAAACATCCGAGGCTTGCCTAGTATATTTTTACTTTTATCAACGAGTGTTGATATATTTGATATCAGAAGACACGAGGGTCAGATTCTATATATCATAAAAAAATCACTCTTCATTAGTTTTCAATGAAAAATGTACACAACCCTGAACACAGTACTGCCATTAGACTTGCAGTGCAGTGATGTCATAGCATTGTGACGTCTTCAAGTTCATGACGTCATAGCATTGTTAGGGCATTGTACTGTCAAAGCGATATCTCCTAGGAGATATCGTCTGATCTCACACAAGCAATGTCTCCTGTGGAACACAGGTTTGGATGATAAAACACTGTAAATGATGCTTTGGCAACACGAACACAGTGTTTGTGACAAGTAAGTGACAATCAAAACGCTATATATTTACATTGATTTTTATTTAAAAAGTCCCCAAAACCATATGTGTACTTTCTTTTATACGTCAGTTTTGTTTCGATACATAGGTCTCCTGTATGTTAAACTATCAATGGATTTTGTTGACTGCCTGTAGGAGAGTGGGCACTGACCTGTCAGACAGACAACCACTTCAAGGCGGGCGAGAAGACGTTGTATAGGGTGTCGAAATGCGCCTCCAGCAGCATGAAGGATGAACCCAGTCAAGGAAAGGAGCGTGTATTCTATATCCAGGCGGAACAGGTGGAGTGGGACTACGCCCCCACAGGCCGTGACGTCACGTATAATAAACCGTTACCACCAAAATATGAATACAGGTTGGTGTTTTCTGCAGGTCAAACTCCCTGTCAGATACATATCCTATAGAACTGATACAAAATACCACACATGAAGAATACTACCGTGAATTAAGACATTACTCTATTCTTACAGGTCAGTCTGTAGTGTCCTATCGCAGTTTGATTGGTCAGTCTGTAGTGTCCTATAGCAGTTTGATTGGTCAAGGTGTAGTGTCCAATCTCAGTTTGATTGGTCAAGCTGTAGTGTCCAATCGCAGTTTGATTGGTTAATCTATAGTGTCCAATGACAGTTTGATTGGTCAAGCTGTAGTGTCCAATGGCAGTTTGATTGGTCAAGCTGTAGTGTCCAATGGCAGTTTGATTGGTCAAGCTGTGGTGTCGAATCGCAGTTTGATTGGTCAAGCTGTAGTGTCCAATTGCAGTTTGATTGGTCAATCTGTAGTGTCCAATCGCAGTTTGATTGGTCAAGGTGTAGTGTCCAATCGCAGTTTGATTGGTCAAGCTTGAGTGTTCGCAGTTATTGGTCAAGGTGTAGTGTCCAATGGCAGTTTGATTGGTCAAGCTGTAGTGTCCTATCGTAGTTTGATTGGTCAGTCTGTAGTGTCCTATCGTAGTTTGATTGGTCAATCTGTAGTGTCCTATAGCAGTTTGATTGGTCAATCTGTAGTGTCCAATGACAGTTTGATTGGTCAAGCTGTAGTGTCCAATGGCAGTTTGATTGGTCAAACTGTAGTGTCCTATCGTAGTTTGATTGGTCAATCTGTAGTGTCCAATCGCAGTTTGATTGGTCAAGCTGTAGTGTCCAATCGCAGTTTGATTGGTCAAGCTGTAGTGTCCAATCGCAGTTTGATTGGTCAAGCTGTAGTGTCCAATCGCAGTTTTATTGGTCAAGCTGTAGTGTTCTGTCACATCACCCACCTGTTCACCTCATCAACGCGAATATTAACAGAATCGTTGGTTGACAAAAACGTAGATTTGTGATCGCAACAATATTCACAACATCTGAGCATACACAACATCTGAGCATACACAACATCTGAGCATACACAACACCTACCCTCGTCTCATGACTCTTATCGACTAACGGATGTTTCCTCAATTCAGCTCGACATCTCACTTTAAACACTGAAGTCAGTCTCTTCAACTAAATAGCGAACAACACTGTCGAGTGCACGTCGATTAGTGTTTCGATTTTCTTGATATTTCTTGGCATACTGTTAAGACAAGAAAGATGAAGTTATGACCGCGTCATGGCGTCACACTCTGAACACGATCGGAAATTTCCCTTTGCGGTTACGAAGTGAGAGAGAACGGTTTTACACCACGTTTAGAAACACTCTCGCACTATCATTGCCGTTCACACCAGAAATGACCTTCACACATTGTACCCATCTGGGAAATCGAGCCCAGACCGTCCCCGTGACGAGCGAATGGTGTTACGGAAAGGGACAAAGCTTGGCCGAAAAATGGCGTCATAACATCCAGGATGTGGTCATGGATGTACCACAACATTTTGAAAACAAAGTGCCATTGAAAAGTTTATATTTCAAACCTTCGTTTATCGCTGACATCAAAAATCGATCACACCTCCAAATCGAAAAACAACACGCGTTCCATAATTAACATGCCAAACGGAAACAACATGGGTACCCCTCCAATGATTATTTATAATAAACATTGAAGATTTTCGAAACATGTTGTTACAGACACTTCATGAAGGTGCTTTACCGTGGATATACTGATTCGTCCTTCAAGACACAGCTCAACAGAACAGGGGAGGAATACCTTGGTATGCTTGGACCCGTTATACGTGTAGAAGTAGGGGACACGTTGAAGATTGTCTTCAGAAACAAGGCGCATCGAACCTTTTCCATTCATCCTCAGGGCCTGGCCGACGGCTCTGGGAGAGCGTCAGTCGGGAGTCGATTACGACCCGACCAGCCTTCCGTACAACCAGGCCAGGTTCACACGTATCTATGGAAGGTTCACAATGCCTCCGGCCCAGGGAAAGCGGACCCAGACTGCGTCAACTATCCGTACTATTCCGACGTGAATCCAGTGAGGGATGTCAACTCGGGGCTGGCTGGGGCAGTCGTCGTGTGTAGGCCGGGGACGCTGGGCAGTGATGGACACAGGTTAGACGTGGACAAGGACTTCGTGAGTTACTTGACCGTTGTAGACGAAGGAAAGAGCTGGTTGGCAGACAAGAACTTGGAGAGATGTCAAGGACGGTATGGTGTCATGGCCGCCAAATTGGGAAAGTGTGCTCCGGGGTCCTTCTATGGTACGTGGCATCTGTGACCTCGTTATACTGTCCTCCTCCCTTTGAATAGACACAATGTAGGTCGAACTGCCATCTGAGTTAGTGAGTGAGTGACTGCGTGAGTGAGTGGCTCTATTGTTTCGTGGATAAGCCTTTGACCTTTCGGGTACTTGTTTTGATTAATTCAATCATTTATAAGTTTCATTACAACCGGAATCAAGCACGGATGTCTCTTGACGTTGTTTGTATGTATGATGCTGTGTTGAGTGCACATAAATACATGAATTATGATACATGATTCAGGATGGATGTAAAGGGAGAGAGAGAGAGGAGAGAGAGAGAGAGAGAGAGGGAGAGAGAGAGGGAGGAGAGAGAGAGAGAGGGAGGGAGAGAGAGAGGGAGGGAGGGGGAGAGGGAGGGAGGGAGGAGGGAGAGGGAGGAGGGAGGGAGAGAGGGAGGGAGGGGGGGGAGGGAGGGAGGGAGGGAGGGAGGAGGGAGGGAGGGAGGGAGAGGGAGGGAGAGAGAGAGAGAGAGGGAGAGGAGGGAGGAGGAGAGAGGGGAGGGAGGGAGGGAGAGAGAGAGGGAGAGAGAGGGAGGAGGGAGGGGAGGGAGAGGGAGGGAGGGGGGAGGAGAGGGGGGAGGGAGGGGAGAGGGAGGAGGGAGGGAGGGAGGAGGGAGGAGGGAGGGAGGGGGGGGAGGGAGGAGGGAGGGAGGAGAGAGAGGGAGGGGAGGGAGGGGGAGAGGGGGAGGGAGGAGGGAGAGGGAGGAGAGGAGAGAGGGGAGGAGAGAGAGGAGGGAGGGAGAGAGAGAGAGAGAGAGAGAGAGAGAGAGAGAGAGAGGGAGAGAGAGGGAGAGAGAGAGAGAGATCCTGAGGAGGGAAGTCAGGGTACCATGCCCTACTGACGTGATTCTGCTGTACAGCCCGATATATCACGTATATCCCAGGAAGGTTTGTTTGTTGACCGCCATTACATGGCAGGAGTGCTCTGGTACGGAGCCACACAACAAAACACCAGACTTGATTTGTTTGCCTTTCTCGAGAACAGCTGATGTCACCGTCGTGTCAGCGGTCCATTCATTCCCCGTCTGGCAACTGTCTATTTGTAATAGAGTTTTCACAACATGCCGCAACTGGTCAGGTACATCTTTACATACATACTAACATTTGTATAGCGCCGATATCCAGCTCAGCTCTGCTGCTCAAAGGCGCTTTGTTTTTCCCTCGTTCACTGGATGTCAATCTCAACGGCACATCGTATTGTCAATCTCAACTCCCTGGGGAGTATACAACTCTTGCAGCCACTAGGCGCACCGAGTTATTGTGGCATTCCCATCCTTACGATGGTACCCATTGACAGCTGGGTGGACTGGGACACATAGTCACAGTACTTTGTCCAAGTTTACTGCACGTTGCTGTACCCGCAACTACAGTGGACTCTGTCAATGTAACACCGGGCTCATACATCTAGGTGTCATTCATGTGGCCATCATCTGGTCATGTACCAACGGATTCGTGGGTTCTTTTAAGTGCACAGGGTTGTGTACTGTACACTAGGGGTTGTGACAACACTGAAAGAGTCTGCACACAAAGTTGACTCCAAAGATTTTACACCCGGTCACAGGTGGGCTCGATCCCGTCACCTCAACCTCGCTGGATCACTAGCCTGGCGCTTTAGCCAGTTCGCCCACCGCGCCCCCAATGTTAATGGGTTTTTGTTAGTTGTCCATATTTATACTCAAAGGCAAAAGTTATTGCGACACACAAACAGTGCTTAACCTTACTAAAACGTTATTACATGGAAAAACAATTTTTCAAGTTATGGTGACCACCAAAAGTCTATACGAACAGCGCACCAAGCACGTGCAAACGAGCCAGAACACAAAGGTGGGTTTACTAGTAAGTTTTCACACTGTCAGTAGCGAGTGTGTCCGCCAATGTGTCAAGCAATGCAGACATGGCACCCTCAAAACTTTGAGGCAACGTAGTGGAGATGTAAGTCCTTGATAAGATTATTCCATATACACAGTATGTTATACAGGCAGTTGTTGGGAGATATACACAAGCTATACTATACAGACAGTTGTAGGGAGATATACACACGCTATACTATACAGACAGTTGTAGGGAGATATACACACGCTATACTATACAGGCAGTTGTAGGGAGATATACACACGCTATACTATACAGGCAGTTGTAGGGAGATATACACACGCTATACTATACAGATAGTTGTAGGGAGATATACACACGCTATATACAGATAGTTGTAGGGAGATATACACACGCTATACTATACAGACAGTTGTAGGGAGATATACACACGCTATACAGGCAGTTGTAGGGAGATATACAGGCACACGAGATATATACTATACAGACAGTTGTAGGGAGATATACACACGCTATACTATACAGTCAGTTGTAGGGAGATATACACACGCTATACTATACAGGCAGTTGTAGGGAGATATACACACGCTATACTATACAGACAGTTGTAGGGAGATATACACACGCTATACTATACAGGCAGTTGTAGGGAGATATACACACGCTATACTATACAGATAGTTGTAGGGAGATATACACACGCTATACTATACAGATAGTTGTAGGGAGATATACACACGCTATACTATACAGGCAGTTGTAGGGAGATATACACACGCTATACTATACAGGCAGTTGTAGGGAGATATACACACGCTATACTATACAGATAGTTGTAGGGAGATATACACACGCTATACTATACAGATAGTTGTAGGGAGATATACACACGCTATACTATACAGGCAGTTGTAGGGAGATATACACACGCTATACTATACAGGCAGTTGTAGGGAGATATACACACGCTATACTATACAGATAGTTGTAGGGAGATATACACACGCTATACATACAGATAGTTGTAGGGAGATATACACACGCTATATACAGACAGTTGTAGGGGAGATATACAGCTATACAGTTGTAGGGAGATATACACGCTATACTATACAGATAGTTGTAGGGAGATATACACACGCTATACTATACAGATAGTTGTAGGGAGATATACACACGCTATACTATACAGGCAGTTGTAGGGAGATATACACACGCTATACTATACAGGCAGTTGTAAGGAGATATACACACGCTATACTATACAGATAGTTGTAGGGAGATATACACACGCTATACTATACAGATAGTTGTAGGGAGATATACACACGCTATACAGATAGTTGTAGGGAGATATACACACGCTATACTATACAGGCAGTTGTAGGGAGATATACACACGCTATACTATACAGGCAGTTGTAGGGAGATATACACACGCTATACTATACAGATAGTTGTAGGGAGATATACACACGCTATACTATACAGATAGTTGTAGGGAGATATACACGCTATACTATACAGGGGCAGATAGTTGAGGAGATATACACACGCTATACTATACAGGCAGTTGTAAGGAGATGTACACACGCTATACTATACAGATAGTTGTAGGGAGATATACACACGCTATACTATACAGATAGTTGTAGGGACATATACACACGCTATACTATACAGGCAGTTGTAGGGAGATACACACGCTATACTATACAGGCAGTTGTAGGGAGATATACACACGCTATACTATACAGGCAGTTGTAGGGAGATATACACACGCTATACTATACAGGCAGTTGTAGGGAGATATACACACGCTATACAGACAGTTGTAGGGAGATATACACACGCTATACTATACAGATAGTTGTAGGGAGATATACACACGCTATACTATACAGGCAGTTGTAGGGAGATATACACACGCTATACAGATAGTTGTAGGGAGATATACACACGCTATACTATACAGGCAGTTGTAGGGAGATATACACACGCTATACTATACAGGCAGTTGTAGGGAGATATACACACGCTATACAGATAGTTGTAGGGAGATATACACACGCTATACTATACAGGCAGTTGTAGGGAGATATACACACGCTATACTATACAGATAGTTGTAGGGAGATATACACACGCTATACTATACAGGCAGTTGTAAGGAGATGTACACACGCTATACTATACAGATAGTTGTACTATACAGATAGTTGTAGGGAGATATACACACGCTATATACAGGCAGTTGTAGGGAGATATACACGCTATATAGTTGTGTAGGGAGATATACACACGCATACTATAGAGATATACACCGCTATACAGTTGTAGGGAGATATACACGCTATACTATACAGATAGTTGTAGGGAGATATACACACGCTATACTATACAGACAGTTGTAGGGAGATATACACACGCTATACTATACAGGCAGTTGTAGGGAGATATACACACGCTATACTATACAGGCAGTTGTAGGGAGATATACACACGCTATACTATACAGGCAGTTGTAGGGAGATATACACACGCTATACTATACAGATAGTTGTAGGGAGATATACACCATATACTATACAGGCAGTTGTAGGAGATATACACACGCATACTATACAGATAGTTGTAGGGAGATATACACACGCTATACTATACAGGCAGTTGTAGGGAGATATACACACGCTATACAGATAGTTGTAGGGAGATATACACACGCTATACAGGCAGTTGTAGGGAGATATACACACGCTATACTATACAGGCAGTTGTAGGGAGATATACACACGCTATACTATACAGGCAGTTGTAGGGAGATATACACACGCTATACAGATAGTTGTAGGGAGATATACACACGCTATACTATACAGGCAGTTGTAGGGAGATATACACACGCTATGCTATACAGGCAGTTGTAGGGAGATATACACACGCTATACAGGCAGTTGTAGGGAGATATACACACGCTATACTATACAGGCAGTTGTAGGGAGATATACACACGCTATACAGACAGTTGTAGGGAGATATACACACGCTATACTATACAGGCAGTAGTAGGGAGATATACACACGCTATACTATTGAGGAGGACGTTTGCACACCTGTATTCAGTATTGACATATCGTTTCTTAATCGAGCCCCCCTCAAGGGTACAATGTGTGAAGCCCATTTGTGGTGTGGTGAAATTGATGAAACATTGCTAAGAGCTGCGTAAAACTCTTAAAGAACAAATAATCTTTGTTTTTTTGTACTCTTTTAACCATTACATATGAAAGATTTGTGGTTAGTCTTACGCGGAACACCAAATTCATTCTTAAAAACTTATGGTTAATTAATTCCGAGCGACATTGACTTAGTTAACGTCCACTCACCAGTATGTAGATACTAGACTAAGTCAATGTACGTCTTTATATTTGGTCTTTTAATCCTAATTAGTTTATTATCATATTTGTATGCATTTTGAAATTAAATAAAAAGCAGGCGATCTGCCGATACTTATAGTGAATTTATAACAGGACTGTAAAATCTAGACATTTTATAGTTTGCCAATGTGAATCATAATTCGCACACACGCCCTAGTGTATGTTGTCTGTCTCATTACACTTCACGGCGGAAACAATGATTCTGTTGAATGCTACAACAAATGAATAAAAACAAAATGCAAATATTTAAATTAAAACAGATTAAAGTTATAGGAACAATGTCAGGCTATTACCTTGTTCGAGGAATGTATCCATCAATATCCACAAACACGAGTGATATACCATTCATCTGCAGCTGTTCCAAGTGATGTGTCTTTTAACAGTCTAATATACCAAAAAGTGATATATCGTTTCAGGTATTTCACATTGGTGTATAGTCTCATTGGCATCCCAAGCACACCTCTCAACTAATTGCATAATGTCCGACGTTCTTTAAAAAAAAGTAATTTAGTTAGCCAATAATGAGCAATCAATCAATGTACTGGCGGTTAATCCTTTGAAAGAAGGACGTTGTTTTTACACAGACACAGACACTGACACGACAGAGTGTATTCAGTATAGATTAGTAAATCTACATACATAAACGCTACCTTTTGACAAATCCGATAAAAAGATAAAAGTAATTAATCAATCAGCGTGTTTTCGGTTAATCCTTTGATCGATGTTTATAATGTTGAGTATTTAACTCCAGACACAAGAAATGACAAATGGGAACCATTGTCGGGTAATCTAAATGGTGTTACCACTAATTATACCTGTTGTAAATTCATTAACTGACCATCAATTGAATGATGACAAATAACATGTGTAGGTTTATACCACCTAACACGGTTTACAACAAGTGAGTATTAATTACTGTATTGCATGCAGTTTTAATTGCATGTGAAAACTTATGGGCCGACACTGTTTTGAGAATACGAACAGAACTTCATTGTTGCATAAGAAATACATATAAGTATTTGCTATGTGCTAATGCTGTATGTACCTGTTTACCTAAGTAAATTTTCAGATTCTTCTAGCAATGGCAAAGTAGGGTTGTTTAGTTTACAAAGCCAAATAAATCAAATGTCAATTTTTGATATCATACGTAATAGACGTCATATTCTTACATGACATGATTAAATATCGAGGTAAAAAAAACAAAGAAAGGGGATCAGTTTGGATCAGTCATTATACCATCCAGGCATTAGAAAGCCTGAAAAAGTCCTGAGAGTGAGAGAGAGACAGAGTGAGTCAGAGAGAAATTGTTTATTGTATTCTCACCCAAGACAGTTTTGTGTGTGCGCGTTTTTACAGATATATAAACAATGCTGCCTTAATAAAATGCATTGACCACCATGCCTTAATAAAATGCATTGACCACCATAAAAAGGTTGTGAGAGAATTGTATAACATGGTAGGCCATATTAAAATATAATATATAAAAATACACTTTTACCCCATAAGTAAAATTTTTGTTTCAATCATTCGAATACTTTCATCCGGTTAATATAAAGATATCAAAACCATTCATACTTGAACAGTGAGTGAGTGAGTTATTAGTTAGCGTCACACAGGCACTATTTCAGCCATATTGTGACGAGAACAATCTAATTTATATCAATATTAAAATATACCTGGCTTCCACGAGCTATGTTGTAATCACATGTAGCTGTGTGTCATTTTTACCATGGATTGCAACGTACGACAAGACAAGTCTTAACAACAATCTGGGTAAAAACGAAGTCAAATGTGCGCGTTAAGTCGTAATTAAGTATCACAAGTATGCTTTACCACAACCGTCATTATTCGCAGATCAACAACACAAACAATCTGGAGGACGGAGTTTGTGTTCGGGGAAACGCACCCGGAACTGTGAGTTCCCTGACGCACATAGTCACAGTCTCCCAGTAACGAGGTCAGTTCACCTTGGCTGACTGCTGCGTCTCCACTGTCTTCTGTCTGCTGTTCATGGTGAATCTCGTCATTCAACGGTGATGGCGTGGGTCAGGGTCTTCTCCTTGATCCTTATTATTTTATGCTGTTCCTCCACATGTTCGGGGAAGGACCGCGTGTACTACATAGCTTGTTCTGAGGAGGTGTGGGACTATGCCCCAGGGGGTGAAGATCTAGTTAGGTAGGTTGTATTAAGCATATTTTATTATTTTATGCTATTTTTCACGTTTCCACGCATTAGGTCCTACAGAAAAGCATTTCGACCGGATACGCTTGCTACGAATGTTTTGACAAGTTGAAACGCTGTGAATGATCATCCAACTGTTTACTTTGTTTACGCCAAACGGAGATATTCATGGATTGTCTTGGTTAAAAAATAGAGGCGGTGTAGGTCACGATATCCTAAATAACAAGTTCTACAACCGAGAACAACTTGCTGTACACAATTTGCGTCATATTAGCTGCAGGCATGTACGGATGTGTTCCACACATGGAAATAGTATGTACTCTATATAACTTAGTGGACATGGAAATAGTATGTACTCTTTGAGCAGTTGTACTGGATATCGGCGCTATACAAATGTATGTATGTATGTATGTATGTATGTATGTATGTATGTATGTATGTATGTATGTATGTATGTATGTATGTATGTATGTATGTATGTATGTATGTATGTATGTATGTATGTATGTATGTATGTATGTATGTATGTATGTATGTATGTATGTATGTATGTATGTATGTATGTATGTATGTATGTATGTATGTATGCATGCATGCATGCATGCATGTATGTACTCTATATGACTTAGTGGTATATGACTTATGTATGTATGTATGTATGTATGTATGTATGTATGTATGTATGTATGTATGTATGTATGTATGTATGTATGTATGTATGTATGTATGTATGTATGTATGTATGTATGTATGTATGTATGTATGTATGTATGTATGTATGTATGTATGTATGTATGTATGTATGTATGTATGTATGTATGTATGTATGTATGTATGTATGTACTCTATATGACTTAGTGGAGTTGCACAATCCGTGTCAGTGACTGACGAATCTACTTTACGCCATTCAAATTTATGTCCAGCTATAATCCAACAACTCCATCCTCGGATGTCTTCATTTTGACAACTCATCTTTGGATGTAAAATCTATCATGCTGTTTCTAGGAAGAATTCAAGATGGTCATTCAACTCTTGCGAAGAAGTTGTTTTGTTTAACGTTAGAAGGTTGTGGTCCCCTGTACTGGTTTCAGGAGGTTAATGATATTTAAACAGACTTTTGGTAGATAGCTGGAGGATATTTTCATATTAGAAACACCAGCGACAAAACATTCATTACTAACCTTGAACCATATGATCCTGTGTTTGTTCAGACGAGTGTTGCCTTTGCTTTGTACCTGTTTGCGACAGATACCGCCTTTGAGGTGGTATACCTACTCTCCCTCACAAACATCGCCTGTAAGTGTTCGCTATTACCACGACCACCCATCTACCTACTCTCCGTCACCAACATCGCCTGACTAGTGTAAGTGTTAGCTATTCCCTAGACCACCCATCCACCTACTATCCGTCAGCAACATCGCCAGATTTGTGTAAGTGTTCGCTATTGGTTACCTGTTTGCTCATCAAAGTGCGTCCCTCTATAGTTTTTGAGATATTATAACACACAAAGTTTCAACATATGTTTACGTCATGATGTAAATTAATTATCCTGTTAAGCAAGAAATATGCGCACATTAACACCACTCCAGGAATAACAGACTGCCGTTGGGAATTCCGTTTAAACATGATCATAAATATGTACAATACACAACCGAACAGTAACCTGAGGCTATACGTTACGATCTAAAGTAAATTCAAGTAATTTTATGCCAAATCGATTGTGAGTATCAAAATTATTTTTCGAATCATTACCATTGACTATAAAATCGTGGGCTGTTTTAAGGATGTAAACTGCGTCCCGTGAGATCTGACGATAATTAGCGTTACCGGGTTACTGACTAAATGTGTCGTTGATGCATCAGACAAGCATGTTCCTAAGAGGAAATATAGTCCTCATCTAAAGCCATACTGGTCTACAGTGCCAGAATGTCTTGGATTCGAGTTGGGAAACCAATAGGTGGCAGTCATATCACATATAGGACTTATTAAGATCTAAAAAGAGAATTTAGAAGGTCTCAAAGAAAGCACATTGAAGATCAAAGATTCAAGGTCTTGAACGAGATTGACGCATATACGGAAATGGATCAGTCTGCATTCTGGAAGGCTATAAGTTCTAGAAGAAAAGGTCACCGAGCCGACACTGGTGGTGACATGTGATTTCAAGAAGGAATTATCACTCGCGATCCTAAAGGCATTGCAGATGGATGGAGTGAATATTTCAAAGCACTGTTTACGCCATTAGAAGTTCCTTCCTTTGACTCAGATCATAAGGATTCACATCAAACGCCATAAGCCCACCATCAACCGTGACCAAGGATACTTCATTCCATCAGCTTATGATCCACTCCTCCACCAAGCCCAATCTATTGTATAACCATCGCACCTATTGTATAAACATCTCCTTCATTGTACCACTCCTGTATTAATACATCTCTGGCTTCCATTCACTATCCTTTGTGTACTCACTGGCTTCATCAGCTTACTGCTTAACCAATTATGGCAATTATGTTGTTTCCTTTGTCAATTACAATGTATGTAGTTTCATTGTTATACACAGTATAAAAATGTAGCTCCTCCACTTCATGTATCACTCTTGCTTGACAACGGTACAAGAATCTGTATCGTAACGTCGCACTCACGAAATAAAGAAGTTGTTATCCATAAAAACTTGTTCCATATTGTACGTCTCAACTTCTAAAATGCCACTCAAACAAGTCATAAGGACTCTGTTGAAGAAGAGCTCCGTTCTCCAATGTGTGCAGATACAGCAGTGCCTCCTGTCGTTTCCAACGAACTGTACTCAGCCATTTCTAAATTGAACACGGGCAAAGCACCTGGTATTGATCATGTGACCAATGAGCATATCATTCATGGGGTCCTGGTTTAGTCGCCTGTCTTACCAAACTGTTCAATGCCTTCCTTACTGTAGGCTATGTGCCGCCATCAATGGAATGTGGAGTTATCATCTGAATCTGAAAATTTACTTAGGTAAACAGGTACATACAGCATTAGCACATAGCAAATACTTATATGTATTTCTTATGCAACAATGAAGTTCTGTTCGTATTCTCAAAACAGTGTCGGCCCATAAGTTTCACATGCAATTAAAACTGCATGCAATACAGTAATTAATACTCACTTGTTGTAAACCGTGTTAGGTGGTATAAACCTACACATGTTATTTGTCATCATTCACTTGATGGTCAGTTAATGAATTTACAACAGGTATAATTAGTGGTAACACCACTTAGATTACCCGACAATGGTTCCCATTTGTCATTTCTTGTGTCTGGAGTAAATACTCAACATATTAAACATCGATCAAAAAAGATTAACCGATAACACGCTGATTGATTAATTACTTTTATCTTTTTATCGGATTTGTCAAAAGGTAGTGTTTATGTATGTAGATTTACTAATCACTACTGAATACCAAGCGCTACAGTAGTACAAATCGTGTTGTTTCTGTCGGTTTTTTAAATGGTACGATGGTGTATTGCGTTGCCTGGGGATGCACGGCATCATCGAACATGGTAAAGAACCACCATTTCTTCCGTTTTCCAAGTGAAAGGACCGATTTCGGCAGGAGAAATGCGCCGATCATTCCGAGTCGGACGCATATGAAAGAGACATGCACGCATGGGGTATGGAAATCCTCAAGCTAGGCTGAAGAAGGAAAAGTATCCACGAGATTCATTTATACTCCATCATTCCCTGTAACAACTTACTGTCAGTGGTATTTTTAACATAAATTAAATCAAGTACGATTGCCAGTCGAATTGCCCCCGCTGCAAATTGCCCCAGCAAATTTGGTCAAATTGCCCCGGAGTTTTGGTCAAATTGCCCCAGGGGGATAGTTAAAATGCCCCAATTTATTTAAAATGATTAAATATAGGCCATAAATGCATAGTTTTGTCAACTTTGATATTATGTTCTTCATATAAAAGTATATACATAGTTATGAGTTTACTGGTGGAACATTATCAGAAATATTACTTCTTAATAACTTTTATATAAAGAACATAATATCAAAGTTGACAAAAACTATGCATTTACGGCATAAATTTAATCATTTTAAATAAATTTCACCAAATTAGAATGAATGACCAAATTTGCTGGGGCATTTTGTAGCTGGTGCAGTTCCAATGATACCCATGAGATAGATATCAAAATCAGTAAGTGATTTCACATGAGCTTGAAAATGTTTCGCTATAACGTTCTTTTCGGTTTGGAGCCCTAAATGATGCAGTCAACTCGAAACATTGCCGAATACAACGGCAAATCATGAAGTACTTGTTGCTTTCATTGTTTTCCATTTTGTCCAATTACGCACGTCGACATCAGAATCGCTAATATTTGTCAGTAGTGTGTGCCGTGAAAGTTGTTCTGTATTCTCATTGGCTGACAAGATGTCATTCTAAGGCTATGACCGAGTACCATAACTATTTCCATAACCAAACAATGGGGAAACATACGTTGTCCTGACTAGTATTTTATAATTCACCAGTTTTCGGGGAATAACTTATCTGCGTCGCGAATATTATCTCTGCTCGACCAGGCTGGGATCTTGTATCGAGACTTGATACGTTATTAATGAGAACTAGGATCCTAATTTTTTTCAACAAAATAATTCCAGTGTAATTTTTGAAGCAGATAATTTTTATTTTCCCTCGTCTGAAGCATGATTATTCTGTTTTTAAATCCCAGACACCCTACAGTCACCCATTTGACACAAAATGGACTGTATTCACATTTTTTTTAAAAATAATTCTTAGTGACCGGTCATATATTTATAGGGGTGAGTTTGCTGGCTGGAACTGTATGATATTTTGCTGACAAATAGTAATCTTGTTAATTTATATGGTGTATTTTTAAATTTATTTTGACCTCAAGCGGTGCCTCCGTTTCGCTTGATTCTTCTTCATCATCTTCAGTGGAAGATTGTTTTGCAAGATGTAAAATCGGATCGTATTGATACGGTCTAACATCCATTT